TTGATTTTCGAGATAAAGCTCGCGCGCAATCTCGGAATGCAACAGAAAAAGTGACGTCACGGCCAAAGTGGCGCAAAGTGGCACCCAAATTTTGCGGGATCGTATTCTCAGGACTCCTACGAACATGCCTATACAAATTTTTCTGGCGGATGGTGGCGGATGGGTAGTTAAAAGTTTACCTAAACTTTTTTTTTTCGCTTTTAGAGATGAGCACATTAGCGCAAACATAATCATTGAAAAAATGGGCCGAATACAAAAAATTACTAGTGCAATGTGTTCTCCAGACTCTGAAGAACAAGAATATGTCAATGAAATTAGCATTAATTTAAACAGAAGCAAGTTAAATGGAATAGAAAGACTCGGACGATTTGTCGCTAAAATAAAAAGTTACGCAAAGCCCCTCTTTGATGCCTTCTGTCACAAAAATGAACATGTTTCGTTCCAAATCAATGTCAGATCCTTAAAATATAACTCTTGAGGAACACTTTTGACCCTTAAAAAATGCGATTCGCCCGAATCGCCCATGACCGACCTGTACCATTGACTCGATCCACCGTGCGGCGGCGGGGCATCGTCGCTCCTGTCGTCGCCGCTGACGTCACTGGCGCTTTATAATATCCATTCATTCTTACCGCCCAAGAACTAACGAGCATACCCCATGTTCTCTACCCGCACATAGTTCTGTTTGGTAGAAATGCGTCCAAATATTAACATTCTTATCAATAATAGCCTCCAAACTACCCAAGTGGTATTTTTCAACGGAAAAATTTCGATTTTTCGAAAATAAGTTGTAATTTGTTTCAAGATTTTTCGACGATAAATTCGCTAGGATCATCAACATCTGAGCGATTATCCAGCTGTATCACGAGCATTTTTTGTCTAAACTCTTAAATCAATGGGAGGTTTCATTGGGTGCAAATTGAAAAGGACTTTTTCGGTAAACGGGTGAAAGAGGCTTGCTATGCTGCCAATATTGTGCAATTTTCCATAACGTGTGCTACAGACGAAATTCATTCACAGTCGACATACCTACTTCCTTACGATATAGTGAAGAGAAATTCGGAACAGATTCGGGAAAAATTCACAACGGACCTGTCGGGTAGGTGAGCTGCCCTAATTTTTTTTTACCCAATTTTTTATGGTATCTGTTACAAAAATAAAAACTTAATACGTAAAAAAATTTTCTCCGTCGCAGGGCCGTATTCTATTCCGCCCTGTAATGACTGCACATGCGCGGCGCGGCGGAGCATTAGACCTCCCCAACTTGGCGCCTTATCTCAACGCGATCTGGACGCTAATATTCTCGCGGTGCAGTTTCAACTCGAGGAAACATCACGGGTAATTACTGAGTATCACTCCGAAACGTATGGATGGACAAACGTGATCGCTCCTCGCTCGCCTCCGCAAGAAAGAAGAATAATTAATTTTTAATTATATTTTTTTCCTTCGAACTCCGTTTTGAGAGATGCAATCGACTTCCGATGCCACCGGGGGAACAATAGCCCGATGCAGAAAAAGAGAGACAGCGAGGCAGGAGGGAGATGGAAGACGTGAGAGCTATGATATCGTCGATCGATTCAACGGAGGATGAAGGGGGATAGACTAATGGGGGGGAGGGGGTTGAGGTTACGATGCGTTAGATTCACACAAACGCATGCCCGAGCTTATCAATTTCGTTCGAGCTATCTCGTTTCCATTATCTGAGGAGCGGGCAAGAAAAAAAAATGAGTATTTTAATGCACTAATTATTGTTAAAATGTGGTCTTCGGGGAGGAGGGGGCACAGGGGGCGGGGCCCGGGCTGATATAAAAATCAACTTGACAGAATCGCATACGTGTCCGTCGTTGCGCAGTTCCGCTGCGCAGTCGATCATCTAGACTGCGATCGGGTCGAACCCCCTGTTGCCGCGTAGCCAGTGGGACGCAGTCGAGAATAATTGTATGCATTAGAGACTCAATTAGCCATCGTCTTAGGGGCCGTAGATTAGAGTACCTACGTACGCAGAGTATTACCAGCTCTTCAGCACTGAAAAACTGTGCCGATCGTTGATTGGTCCGCGAGATCGCAGGCCTTTACCATACCTAATGGGCTCAAAAAACACATTGGATCTAGAGTACAGACTCTTAAAAACATAGACAAGAAAAATGCTCTTGATTCAATCAGATTTAAGGTTAAATCAAGAACCAAGCCTCTTAATTTGAGCGGATTTCCTTTTGATTTAGGCTTAAATCTGATTGAATCAAGAGTCCTTTTTCTTGTCAATGTTTTCAAGAGTCTGGACTCTAGATCCATAATGTGTTTTTTTTCCAGTGCTTCTCGGAAAAACAACTTGGACAAATCTGCAATTTGAAACTAAACTTCACCCACCTCGTAAATTTCGGGAAAATTTGGGGCCGTCCCACAGTGGATCGAGTCACTTAGAGAGGTCGGACATGAAATTTTTGACAAAAAATGCAAATTTTGATGTTTATTTTGTCTTATTTCAAATTCAAAGAGGTGCTTCTGACAGAAAATTTAATGAGAAAACCGATGGCCCCACTTTTAGAACTTCAAAGGTTTGTATAAACGGAGTTATGAGCGTTTAAAGTTTCCAAATTTTGTCCGGCCTCTCCCATTGACTCAATCCACTGTGCGTCCCTAAATAACGTAACGCACTTTTTCGGTATTTTTGACCCTCTCCCCCTTGTAACGCTTTTTTACCCACTACTATGCGAATGAATCCTATGTATTAAGGTGTCATGCATTCCGAAAATTTAAAATTCAGCGTTACGTATTTTATGAATGGTCCATAAGGAGACACAAACAGCTCATGTAGAATCTCCAGTGTAAGGATCCATAATTTTAGCCTCAGTTCTGACTGAAACTAGGTTCATATGGCTTTACTAGCTGGACTATAAATATTTCATTAATAAAATAATACTGTATAGAAATTTTCTGGTGTTATTAATGGATATTCGTACATTTTCTCCCTTTTTTAAAAAAAATTTTGTGTTTCGACACTTCCTTGGGGGAAGTCGGTGAAAATCGGCAACAGGAGACGAAGCCCGATTGGGAAATCCCCCAAATTTATAAGTTCTATTCTCTCATCATTTGCGGTTGGAGGATTTCGGCCTTTGCCGGGTGGCGAGGGGATTTAAGGTGGCTGGAGGGAGGGGGAGAGGGGGTCAAAAGACTGACCGCGTCGTCTATTATCCGACCGCCGAACACCGTGAGAGTGGACCCGAGAAGATGCTTTGTTTTATGTAGTCTTTGTTCGATGCTGTCTTTGTTTTTCGCGCGTGAGATACTGGGCAGCTTTAGTTTTAACCCCGCGTTATTAGAAGTTGGACAAAGAGGATGAGCTTTCCCACCGGCGTCAATGGACCTTTTGATCGGGTGGACGAGCAAAGGTCAGCCCCATTTGCGGATAATCGGGGTTTATGTATCAGGTGCTCACATTTTTACCACTCATTTGCGTCAATGTTGATCTGTAACGTTGCTTAAGCGAAATTTACTCTTCTTGAGATATTATCTGGAGGGGAGGAAATGGCAACAGGCAAGATGTAAACCGAAGAACTTACGCAAAACAAAAATACGTGTGACCTCTCCGGCTCTCACCCAACACGGTTGTTAAAATGGAGGGGCCTGGAGGACAAGACTCTTTCAATTTCAAGAAATATGCGTTTAAAGTTTCTTCAATTGAGATACACTGGAAGAAAAGTCGCTTGAATTTAGAGTCCAGACTCTTAATAACATTGACAAGAAAAAATACTCTTGGTTTAATCGGAGTTTTCCTTGAATCGAAGAACCAAGCTTCTTTATTTAAGCTTTCCTTCAGATTGAAGAAAAAATCCGATTGAATCAATATTACTTTTTCTTTTCAATGTTTTTAAGAGTCTGAACTGTAGGTCCAAGCAACTTTTTTTTTTCAGTGTTTTCCGGAAAGTTATGCACTCTTTGGGGGTGTATTGATGGATATCCTCCCCCTGAATTCCGCGTTTAGTTTTGCTGCATTTGCAATAAAAATAACGGAGGGTATAAATAGTTATCTACTAAAAAAACATACATTAATCTCTCCCCATCTTAGCTTACACGACATTCCATGCGCAAATCTAATGACACTGATGTTGTCCATTTGCGGTTCGCCTTCAATCTCGCAGCATAGGCAACAAACTTACCGGGGAGCTCGAATAGTTGCCTATTCAAAGAACACACGATTACACCGCTCCAAATAATGCTTCACACAGCTGGAAGTTTGAAGATTAACTCCTAAGGTTTCTACAAGTTTTTGTAGTCAATATGTATATTAGTCAGATGGAACATCACAAATGAGGCGTGAGAAATCCAAACCTTGTAAGCTTTATCAGGCGTCGTTCAGATTTTATAATCCTACTCTCAGATTGAAAGAGGAGCGAAACACCTTTGCCTACGAGAATTGGCTCTTTGATTTGAAAATACACAGAAAAAAATGGTTAGTGATGGGAACAAAAGGTAGAGTACGTGTAACAGAACTGCTCTGTCCATACGGCTCCCACAGGAATTCTGTTACCCTTACAAAAGGGCTTTCGTTACTCCGACTGAAGAATTTTTTCACATCAACAGAGGTGTATTATCTCAGTAACAGAACCTTCTGTTCCCACAACTGAATGTTTTGTGCTGAAAACTGAAAGCTTTTGTTGCAGTTACAGAACCGTTTTATCCCTGAAATCCCTAAAAAGAAATTCCTGTGACAACACCACACCACATTTGAAATAAAAAATATGTTATTTAGAATCACCTGCACTAAATTTTCACATTGCCCTAAGATAGCGTAGATGATTATGTGAATATTCATGCAATATCCTCAATTTTTGAACAATCAAATTTGTATAATTTTTCGGTTGTTTCATGGATACTTGGATGTTATAAATCATTGCTGTTACATACTGCTATTTTACGATTGAAATATTTTCACAGCGCAAATATATGCTTGAACAATTTCATTTATTTTGAACTTCAATACATACAAATGAATACATTACTTCAGAGATAAAAATTAATTTTTATTGCATGAAGACAATTTTTCAGAACAAAAACAATAATCAAACAAAACCTTAAACCCATTGGCAGATCTCAGAAAATTTCGCATGACTCAATTGGTTAATGAATCAAAACATTCATTATATGAACTTCAATCATAAGAAGCAATACTATTTCAGGTTTTCAACACCCTGCATGCCCCCTTTTTTTACTTCAGCTTTGTAGTATATGTTTTGTTTAGTAATATAATTTATTCAAATTAAATTTCAATGTACATTTTTTCTGAAATCACATACCGCTGAGTGACAGATCAAAGACACGGATTTCCATTTGCTAAGTTGCAGATTTCTCGTGACATTTTTTAAGCGTAAATTAGTATGTCTCATTATTATGTCTTAAAACTCAATCTGATTTTGTTCTCATCCTGCGAAGAATATTTTAGTAAAAATTTCAAGCGAAGTTACTGCTAATTAGTTTTCTATTAAAAGATAAGCAAGCAGCAGAGATTTTGAAACATCCCAATGGAGATCTGTGTTTTTGGTCTGTTACCAGCGATACCTATTCACTGATGTAATACTAGAATAATTTTCATATCAGTTACAAATAAGGGTCTTGGAGGGGGCGGTGCTCAAGTGCAGTTTTTTCCATTTTCAGAAATGTCTTTGAAGTTTAAAAATTATAGAAGCCTTATGGCAGAAAAAAAGTTTTAACTCACATTTTGAGGCTTAGAAATTGGATCTTAGTGGTTAAATTTTTGCAGAACATATTTCAAGACAAGTTATACTCAATGGAGATCTTGACTCAAAAAGCAAGTTAAGCTGAATCAAAAGTACACAGCAGACAATGGGCAGTGTCAAAATACAATTATAAAACATCAGATCTGTTGTGGAAATATATACAACAAGTGAGAGACAAGGAAATAATTCTGATTTGTTTAATTTTAAAATGAAACAGTGCCACTTTGAAAGAAAGAAAGAAAAAAAAATGGAATATCATTGACTAAAAAAAATAAAGCCTAATATATTTTAACGGTGAGGTCAAACCAAGAAATAAGTTATGATCAAAATGAAGAAAAAAAAAGTTGTTCTGTCAGTGTATCAGTGGACTTATTAGACACCATATCTGTAGGGAACGAAAATGCCAGCTGATAGATCAGTTGCTAGACTAGTTGGTAAATAATGGAACAAGTCATCATGATGCACAAAGAAATATTCCTTTAGATGCTCTACTTCATACGCATGTACATGGGAATTAAAAAATAAAGTTGGCAATTTTTGGCAAATGAAGCCCACCTTATTTTTTTCGCTGCTGAAGGCAATGACCTCAATTAGACCGAAAACAGGATCAATATCATTATTGTTAACAACAAGGACCATTTTTGGATTGTACCTGGTTCCACTGATTTCAGTCCATGCAACAAATTCATAAGAGTCAACAAAATTTGCAGGAAGACCTAAACATGGAACAGGCAAGTCATCTGCGTCAATTTCAGTGCTAGATCCTACTTAAAGTCTGTCTTTTAGAACATCCCCAGATTGTAGGTAGGAATGCAGCAATAACTGATTTCGAGTTAGGACAGTTTTTGGAAGATTTCTTCGCGAGGCAACACTTACTGCCACTTGCTTCCCTCGCTGGTGAAAGGCTTCATATCTAATTGCACTATATTTAATGGGAGGCCCATATTTTAATATTAAGTCAGGGTAATGCAGCAAATGGTGATGCTTATTACGCAAATGTTTTTCTTCGCTAAATTGGATATAAAGTGAGTGATGTTCTTCAATTAAACTTTTTAAAATTTCTAAACTTTCAAGATGTATGCGTGGTGAAAATAAAATATCCATAATTTTCCTTAAAAGAATATACATCTTCCATACTGGATCATTTTCTGGGAAGAAATGACCCATTATAATTCCAAAGAATACAGTAAAGTTAAGCATTTCTGCAGCTGACATTTTGATAGATGGCTGTTGATTAGTACCAACTATTGGGGGAGGTTTATTTTTCATTACACCGTAGTTTTGGTCTCTAATTATTCGATTTAAATGAGGAAGAGTAGTATAGCCATGTCTCATGGCAAATTTCAGAATTAATTCTAAAGTGAAAGTGGCAACACCTGACTCGAGCAAGTCATGCATCAAATCAGGAGGAACATTTTCTGTAACATGGCAGTAAGGAAGCTCATTCCACAGTGAATTCTCATTTATACCGGTCTCAGAAGGATTGTTTTTTTCAATATCAGTGCGGTAATTATCAATAGTTCTTAATTCATATTGAGTAAGGTCGAGTTTTTTTGAAATCAGCAATTTCTTACGAGGAATACGACAATACCTACAAGGAAAATTAGCTGTAAAACACTCAATGAAACCACATATTTGATGAACCCCAAGGTTGTCACCTAGTATTAAACCCAGGACAAATTTAATTTTTCCTTTAAAATTTGGAGTGTCAATGCTAATTCCTTCTTCGCCTAAAAATTTAAATTCTTCTACAACAGACCGATACAGAATACTATTTGGAACTACTTTCCTGTCTTCAGCATGGTAAATGGCAAGCAAAAACATATTATTGAGCATGGCATTAAACTCAGGAGGTAACGCTGGTATTGATACGTAATTTCCACAAAGTTTATGAACACCTTTATGTGACCCTAAAACATTCCCACACTCATAGTCATCCGCATAAAAAAAAAGTGGCCAAATCAAAGTATTATCTTGAGCAGTCTCAATTTTCCCTATAGTACTTCGCCAAAGTGTTCCTTGTACAAAGTCAGTCATGAAGCCATCTGTTTCAGAGACAACCCTCTGTAAGTGACTATTAATTCTGTCAATGACGCCTGGCTGCTGCAAAAACTGCCTGAGAACTAACCTCAGTGGAACAAATTGAAGAGAGCGATCTGCCAGTTCTAGAAAATGTTGAGAGTCTTTGCTCCTTTGTGGGATGAGCTCTGAGTAGAGAGACTTTGGTACGGGTGGAATGTATGTTTCTTGAGACTGGAAAAATTTTAATCGCTGATATTCAGTCATTAAATCTTGGAAAGGATTTTTGAGAATCAAGCAGTAAGTCTTAAAATTCTTATTCTTTTCATCAATGGATAAATTTTGATCACGCATTAAATAAGATACTTTCTCTTGTATTTCAGTTACAATTTCATGAATCAGAAGACTAGTGTGATCAACCATAAGCTGAATTACATTTCTTGGTACATTCGGCTTTGCGTACAATTTGCAGAGAAAAATATTAATATGACTTTTAATATTGGTTTCAAAAAAATTTTCTTGATTGACATTGAATTCAGTATCAAAAGGTGCTGCCTCATCTTGACCAAATTCTGCCTCAGGCTCATTTTCAAAAGAAACATTAGCTGTGGGGTCGCCCTCAACAAATGGTTCAATACTTTCTACAAAAGAATGCTGCTCCTTAAAATGACGCAAAAGATTTCCAAGTTTAGAAAACTCTCTTCGTTCTTTGAGACCAGAAGGGTCTTCAATATAACAATTATCTTCTACACAAACATAACGCCCATTGAGGGGTACGTGCCTGTACAAACGAACATGATTTTTGAATATTTTCAAGTTGCTTGTAACAGAATTGCACACTGAACACTTTGGCATCTTTCAGGAGCTACATAACAAAAAAAAAGACTCTTACAAACTACTTATCAAGATGCATGATGCATGTGATAAAAAAGAAAGGTAAATAAAGTTAGAGGTAAATGGCTGAAATTGATGACTAATTAATTAAGTAGCAACAAATCTATCAAACGTCTCAATAAATTTCTCGACAACGTTGTAGTGAAAATCGTACCGGGTCTCTAGTTCGTAAATGTAAGACTGTAAAAAGACAAAAACAAATTTGGCTTCAAAGGCGTAGTTTACAAATAAGCTGTTACAGCATTTAAAAACAGCATCAATAGCACAAATAAGAGATTCTTGAATGTAAATAAAGTTATCTATGCAAACGTAAAATTGTTTGACGTTTTGCGCATTGTCTTTCACGTAGGCCACATACGGCTGGACAGTGATGCCAAATTTCTGAAAAGCTTCTTTTTTAGTGTTCATGAAGTTTTTTAGCTCACCAACCGAAGGCACAATAGGAAGAGAATACTGGAGCAACTCAGTTTTATTCGAAGGTTTCCAACTTTTTTTGGTTCCTCGAATGGCTTTTTGAGGGAGACACAAGAGAAGAATGAAGAATGCTCGCACATTTAATTCATCTTCATCTGTAAAATAAATAAAAAACAAAATGTAATTGAACTGTGAGGAGAACTATTCAACTAGCAGACAAAGTTTCTCAAGCGCCATTTGATGGTAATACTTTTTTTTTTCTTTTGCTAAGAACTGTTTTGGCAAAACTCAAATGAGATTTTCACACTAATTTATCTTTCCACTGAGATGAAAGCAAAAAAACAAGTTAATGAAGCATACAGAAAAAAAAGCACTTCAGAGCAATTTTTCCTTGTGAGGAGGAGTAAAAATGCACATAATTCTGACATCAGAAATTCTATGCGAAACAAAATAAATTTGGTATTTCAGTTTTTCCCGAAGCTTCAAAGTGTAGAGCATTGATTATTGAATTTTGAACATTGCATTTTATCACCAATTTTTTTTTCGATTACTTATAGAGAGCCTTTGATGCACCAGAAAATTCAAAAGTTAATTGGTTTGGGGATTTTTTTGAAGAGGGGGGAGTGGACAATTACCTTCATCAACAGTCTCTTCCTTCAAACCTACTGAATCCAAGAGACTTGCAAAGGCTGGATCTGATCCAATGCGATCTTTTGCATAATTAAAAAGTTTCAAACGAAACAGTGGCCATTTTTCGAATAAAACTGTAGCTTTATCAGGATAAAGTAGCTTGAAATCCTCCAATAGCTGGAAAAAATACAGAGTAGATTAATTCAACAGTCGGAAAAAGAGAATGGCAGGTATGAGGTATAGGTTGAGCAATTCGTGTTTTGTAAGGTGCCTGGTGCCCTACTTCTGGTTTCCTTTGAATGTAAGCAAACCTTTTAGATATAATTGTGTGTTTGACGTGAAGCCCATGCACGGTACAGGCCTATTATTGTAAAGAATTTGTAAGTGGACTAAGGAAAATAATACTCATTATGATGGCATTCTAGTGCATGTGGGCTACATTGAAAGCGGACCAATTTGTCAATTATTTTAACTACTGTAACTTGGAGACCCGTTCTTTTAATATATGGCTTAGCCTAATTTTTTTTTTTTTTTTTTAAAGAAAGGAAATTAACAACAACTGATGTAACATTTTACCTTGTAGACAAGTTTTTTAAAGTGAAGCAAGGGTTCAACAGCATCTCACTCACCGTAGCACAGACTTAAGCTCTTGCCGACGCTAAAAAGACATATGAGAGGGCAACATTTCTACTTAGTACAAGAATTCATGAATGCCACCCAGATGCTTTCCAAATTTCTCAATACAGAAGATTTTGAACAGACGACCCTGATCAAGTGAAAACGATGCCTTGAGTTATGCATCAAAATATGAAGAAAAATATTTTGAACATTTAACAACTCAATAAAAATAAAAATAAAAAAAATATATAATATATGCTCTATCATACCAAATAGATTCCGGTATTTTTTCGGAGGGCTGGGTATTTCGCAAACTACCAGTTCACGTTGGCATCCCCATCTTCTTTTTGGAGTGTCTGGATGCGTAAACTGTGACTTTTGATCCAGTGATTGAGGGTTGTATCGTAGTGCTCCGCTGACTGCTCTAGGCTTTTACATGCAAACTCCACACCATCAGCTAAAACAACATAAAGTCATTGGAATTAAATAAATAAGTAAAATTAATATATTTGTTACAGGGACAAATTAAATGGGGAAGCTACCTACAACTTTTTTCACTTTGTTTTTTACATCATTAGTTCTGAGAATCATTTACTCGATTTTACGTTAATCTAAATAGTAATTGGAGAAGATTGTGTGATCTACTTAAATCTTCATTGATGCAGGCATTTGCTAGATGCAATTATATTTGTGGAAAATCCACAAGCAACATACTGTGATTTCCTAATATTGAAGTATATGGGAAAAAGTGAGGCCTCAATTAATCGATACCAAACATAAAGAAGAAGGAAAAGAGAAAAGTCAGGTTATTGTTTTTCTACATGCTTAAAGGTACGCACTGAAAAAGCTGGTTTTTTGTGGGTAAAGAAATTCGCTTTTTTTTTGCTTTCTATTTAAAACAGTATTTTTTAAAATCATGTCTGTGCAAATCTGAATTAAAACAACTGTTTCTTTAAATTAACATTATTTCTTTTACTTAAAAGCATAAGTTGATATGTTATCATTTTGAAAAAAAAAAAAATTCTTACTACTTAAAAAATAGTTTTTTTTAAAAAAATGATAACAAATCAACTTAGGCTTTAAAGTAAAGAAAGAGTTGTTTTAATTAAAATTCGCACGAATATGATTATAAAAACGAACTGTTTTAAATAATAAAAAGAACATAGTTTCTTTGCTCGCAAAAACTAGTTATTTCGATGCGGAAACCCAGGAGAGGAAAACAGCGCGGGGAATTAAAGAAAAAGGTTAAGCCTACTCTATAAAAAATAAAAATCAAAGAAACTCCTTACCTACTATTACTACTGAGGTATTCTTTTTTCTTGTGCTTTCGATGACGTTAACCTTGCGCAATTGTCTTCTGCAGTTATGGTAGAAATTTACCAATTTTCCTGTCGCTCTTGTTGTTTTTTTGCCTTTTGTGACAGCAGGAGTAAAATACTTATGGCCCTTCTCATTGGGGAATACTTTTAAAATTAATTCTCTCAAAGTCATAAATTGACTGCTTTTAACCTCCTTTTTAGGGTTCAGATTCATCTCATGATTCACAAGAATATGGCAAAGACTGTATTGGGATGGCTCACTCAGTTTTTTAGATAGTTCATACTCACCCAAAATTATAAGGCCCGCATTGCTGCTTTTCAGCAGATTGTTAATGGAGTCTGTGGTGGTTAAGTGCGTAGGAGGCGGTGTTACAGATGCATCAGGTTTGACAATGGGTGTGCTGGAACTAGTTGAGGCTGTGGCAATGAATGTGCTGGAACTAGTTGAGGGTGTGGCAGTGGATGTGCTGGAACTAGTTGAGGAGGTCTCAAAAATCAAACTTCGCGACACTTGCTCTGTAGCAGGGGACTTGATTTCTTGTCTTTTCGAATTTCTAGGAGGCGTTCTTTTTGCGACTGGGGATGTGAGTACTTGAAATTCTGTTCTGATATCATCGACCTGAGGGTAAGAATAAAGGAGTAAAAGAATTATGAAAATCAAGTGAACAAGGTACCAAAAACCAAACAAAAACAAACCATACAAAGGCATATTTTACATTAGTGGCATATTTATATGAACAAATCGAGAAAGGAATATGAAGTAAATTAGCAAATAGGGCTGACTTCCCTTCTTTGGTTTTTCTCTATTGCAAGAATGCGTTCTTTGCATTTCAACTTTACACGTCATGAATTTCATTTACTGCCTTGTCTTAGATAATCAGAGAACAATTTAATCAGCCTGAGAACACTATATAAAAACAACTTAAATCTGGGATAAAAAGGCTGAAATTAAAAGAAGAAACCAGGAAGTTTTGGAGGGAATCACACCTTCTTGATCAACAAGAGAATAAAAAAAGTAAAAAAATAAAGACAAAATCAACAAGTCACCGCTGTTATAGCGCGAGACTCAGAGACTTAGAGTATTTTGCAATAACAGCAAGTAATTTCATTATTTTCTGGTTGAAAAGGAGGTGTGATTCCCTCCGAAACGTACCACTTTCGTATTTTAATTTTGACTAATCAAGATGTTTATTTTCTACCTTTTGTCTCTATTCATCTTCATGCACACACTCTCAGATTCATGCTTTCATTTGATAGATTTTTAGATAGAAAAAGAAAGTCAATAAGTTCTACCCCTATTTTTTTTCTTATTAATACTGTTATTCAAGATAGGTGCTGAAAAGGATTTTGAAGTAGTACTGACGTTATGGACATCGAGCATTAATTCGATTGTGTCATCAGAAATGTTTCTCTCTGAGTTTACTGAACTAGAAGCTCCTTCTTCAACAGTTTGTTTGCTCTTTATTGAATCCGCCTGCCACCTTTGTAGCCGCTGCCGAAATAAAACTTTTTGCCCGATTGTGAGCATTTCTTGGACATCTTCGACTTGCAGAGCCATTAGATGATTACAGGACGTTATATCGTTTGCTGAAGAAAATGATATTGAAATAATAACCAAAAATAGCCAAGAAACTTAAAGACATTAGAAAAACTGAGGAAGATAGGTACTTACAAACCGAAACGTAAAGAAACCAAGCAAAAAAGTAAAGCTGCTGCTTTCACTATTTAAAGATAGCAGTAGGATAGCAAGTCAATGTTACTACTTCAAAAGAAAAATTGAGCATCGTTAAAATTTCTGGAGCTTCATATTTTGAAGTTAAGCAAGCTAGCAAGATCATTCCTTAAGAATAGCTAGACTGCAAAGCTAGAAAGATTTTGAAACTGACAAAAGAGGGCAGGAAAATTAAAGGCAGTTAATATGCTGAGTTTATGTTCTTGAGATTAATATTTGGTAAATCGTTCATTTTATAAACGCCTCAAAATCTAGGTATATAATAAAAACATAATAAATGAATGAGTAAAAAATTAAGCAGAAGAGTAAATATGTATAAAATTACCAAGAACAGCAAATATATTCAAGATGCTAATTACTAGGTCAAACTTTTTAAAAGCGTTGGCACGACATCCTTTAGTGCTGACTTTAAGAAGAGGATTTTGATCGTATACCAGAAGCAAATGACTAACAAAATTGATAGCCCAAATTCTGGATAAATACAAAAAGTTGGAACCCTCTGTTTAATGTATCAGTATCACATGCCCGCAAAGAAAGTCATGCATTTTTTTTTCAAATGAATGTATAACTTAATGCCACATACCTTCAAATTTTTGAAGCACAGGTCGCGGTAGACCCCACTCTGTTAATAGCTGAGCTAAACTTGGCTCCATTTTCAGTCAATACACCGAGGAAAAGGAAATGTTTCTGAAATTAAGAACCAGTTATGAGCTAGGCAACTAAGTTTGAACTCACTTAGTGTTAGATGAAACAAAAGTCGTACCTATGTTCTTTATATTTTATTCTTATTAATGATGTCATCTGACTATGCAGGCTGATTATTGAAACTATGTCGGCTCGACAAGACAGAACATGGCCTTATCTTAACCATACAATAGATCGCATTTCCATGTCTTGCCGAGTTGCTTTAATTTTTAAATTATTACCATTGAATTAGCCCACCGAGGTTGACTTGTGCTAATTCCAAGCTGATGAGACATTGACTTTCCTGCACAGGGATGAAACTGAGAAAGGCTGGGGGCTTTGTTTGCCTTCAAGTATGTCGATGGTTAGAGTCACGAGCAGTGCCTCACCACTGGCTGTTCGTAATTGCAAACACATGCTTAGCAGGGTCATACATGATTTTCACCGCAGAAATATGAATGTTCGAATGATAACCTACCTCCGTTTCAATGCAAATTCAAAGAGCTCAGTTACACTTTCAGCCACACATGCCACCTTTCAGTATGGCTAATTAAGTTGCTATGCTCCCTTGAACAGGCTCCAAGTTCAGATTATGTAAAATTAGTCTTCCTATCACTAATTTGCAAGATGCTGACAGAAACGATTCAATTTTCAAAACAAATTCAGTTCATCAGATTAATGTTGCGAGGTTATGTACCTAAAGGAGATTCACAAGCCAATAACCTTTAGAGATAGGTACCTTGAACTTGTCAAGTAAGTAATTTCCAAAAACACATGATGCATTATGAAAAGCATAAAATAATAGAAATATGATTAT